TATGGGCCCAAACGGTCGGTAACCGGCATGTTTATGCCATAGGGTATGCTGGTGAGTGTATGAATGGTATAACAGAGCCTCCTGTAGCATGATTTCATCCGATTCTGCCTAATTAATGTCCGCCTCTCACCACTCGCTGCTCTCACTGCAGCATGCCTGGAGCGGCTTTGCTAGCTTGTTGTCGTTGGAACCGATCCCTTTCACCGCTCTCGCCGCAGCATGCCTGGAGCGGCTCTGGTATATGTGCCAGAAATGTATGTGATGGTTTTGCTACGATCTACCTGACATAGCGAAGTGCCACATCCGGGATCGTTTCCACACAATGGTAATGCATCGTTATTGTGTTGTACTGCAGGTTTGCATGTGTTGTGGCTGCTGCTCCACACCTCTCTACATAGTCGCTGCCCTCCTCTTCCTCCCAGACCTCCGGCCCTGGTGCCGATGCCGGTATCGGAACTTCTGCTACTGAGTGTGCATTCCACAGGTATGTTCTCGATAGAACTTCCACACCCTCTCAGCGAGTCATCGCCACCATACTCGTCTCCGTAGTAGTACACGACATGATGTCACTCCATGTTGCCCGTACCATTTCCGCCCATTTTATTGGTGAGTGTATAAACGATATAACCGATGTCACTGTTGACATGTTGCCTTTTGAGCTTGTCTGACCAATTTTCCGCCTCTCATCGCTCCTGTTGCAGCACACCGAGTGCCTAAAGCGGCTGTGGTATATATGCCAGGTACGTATCTAATGTACGTTTAGCTCTTTGTCGGGAAAATCGCCATCTTCGATTTGATTTGAAGCACACAATCCAACACGCACCGAAATGTGCAACCAAACGTGCACCGGTGCACGCAATTTAACACACCATGCAATGCGCAATTCAAGGAAAGCCTACACGCAATCCAAACATGCACCGGTGCACGCAATTTAACGCACCGTGCAATTTAACGCACCATGCGATGCGCAATTCAAGGAAAGCCGTACACGCAATCCAACACACAGTACAACGCACAGTTACATGTCTTAAGCGTGTACGGCATTCCTTCCGTGGTTGAAGGTCGTTGTGTCAGGTGGTGGTGCTGGTGCCGTGCACCAGCTTTCAACGGTAACGGTACCACCTTACCTTACCGATGTCCGGCTTTCACTGCTCCCATTGCAGCATACCGGCTACCTAAACCAGTTCCAACTATTAGGGCTTGTGTGTTACAGCCCTATCATCAGGATATGGTGGCTATGACTCCACGTCTTCGTACACGGTTCCATAGCGTTCACGTGGTGGATCAGGAGGCGCACTTTGCCTTTCCAGCTTGTCTGACCGATTTCCGCCTCTAATCACTCCCGTTGCAGCACGCCGAGTGCCTAAAGCGGCTGTGGTATATATGCAAGGTACGTAGCTAATGTATGTTTAGCTCTTCGTCGGGAAAATCGCCGTCTTCGATTTGATTTGAAGCACGCAATCCAACACGCACCGAAACACACAACCAACCGTGCACCGGTGCACGCAATTTAACGCACCGTGCAATGCGCAATTCAAGGAAAGCCGTACACGCAATCCAACACGCAGTACAATTACATGTCTTAAGCGTGTACGGCATTCCTTCCATGGTCGAAGGTCGTTGTGTCAGGTGGTGCTGCTGGTGCCATTAAAACTTACAACATGACCGTGTGTAGCATGACCGCGCCGTACGCGCCGTACGCGCTATGCCGTACACGCTATGCCGTACGTGATACGCTACACCGTACGAACTTTGCTATGCTGTGCTATGCCGTACTATTACTATGCCGTACGTGCTGTGCTATGCCGTACGAACTATGCTATGCTGTGCTATGCCGTACGCGCTATGCTATGCTATGCTGTACGCGCTTACGACAGCACCATGCAATGCGGAATTCACCGGGGGACTACGGCCCCCTCGCGGGCGACACAGCCCGCGTCTAGTCTGTCTGTCTGTCCGGGTGGCCGCTTGGTAAGTTGCCCTTTTTCGCCGTGTCGTTCGCAGTTTCGGAGCTGCGTCTTTTAAGCTAGCTCCGTCGCCGCGTGGGAGCCGCGGTCGCCGGTTCGCTTCCCGTCGTCGTCGCTTTTTTTCGTTTTTTCGCACCGCACCGCACCGCGCCGCACCGCACCGCAACGCAACGCATCGCACTGCAGCACACCTCTGCCCCCGCAATATGCCCCTGAGCATCGACGTGCGCCGCTTCGTCGTGCGTGCTAGCTCCGACGTCGAGTTGGGGCCGCGGTCGCAGGCTCGATCCCGGCGCTGCTCGGTTGTTTTATTTTTTTCGTTCGGGACCGCGCACCGCACCGCATTGCACTGCACCGCACCGCACCGTGATTGAACGTGTAAATTGCAAAACATTGGCCGCACCGCACTCCGCAATTTGACATACGCCGACTCGCATTTTAACGCGTAACCCACCACACAACTCGATGTGCAATTAAACGATGCGCAATTTAACGTGTCCCGAACCACACAATTCGACGCACACTGAAGTGTGCAATTTGACGCGCACCGATCCATGGAATCCAACGCACAGCTCAACCCGCGATTCGACGCACGCTTAAGTGTGCAACTCAACGCGCAATTCGACATGCACTTAGACGCGCAGTTAAACGCACAATTCAACACGCGATCCAGTCTAGGCGCGGGTATATGAGGCTGCGCCGATGTGCACATATTCGGCTGTCCAACATTGTCCAATGTTGGCTGTACGGACTTTTGTGTAGCTGTGTTGTTCGCGAGCGCCGGTTCACCGCAGTGTGATTGCAACACATACATAAGCAATTGCTTTATTTCTCTTCACGTACGGTCCTGCTTTATTTCTCTTCACGTCCGGTTTTACAAAAGCCGGCCACTGTAAGCTAGCCACGCGATGCTGTGCTATTTGCAGTCGTTTCCTTGCTACTGTATGAATATAATGCATATATATCGCACCTGTATATAGCTATTTCAATCACTCCCGGTAATACGGGTTCCGTCAGTTATGGCGGGCCGCTCAAATGATTCACCCCAGCAAGGTGGGGATCGTAGTCGTGAGCGCTTGGGTACACTAGCCGGCGGTTTTCATTTTAGAGGGGCAATTATGTCGAGCATGCGGCTCGGTGCGGATGCAGAGCAACAGCCCCGCGGCATGTCAAACACTGCAGCCCACACATACGAAGTAGTCGGTGACGGTGTAGTAGTCACCAAGCGGTACATTGACTCGACGTACATTTTTGGTGGTGGTGCCGGTGTTGGCGGCTGGCACGGTGATGTTTGCTGCCGGCGAGGGCCGTGGTACGATGGCGAAGGCAGCCATGACAAACTTCCTGCTCTGCCCCCTCGCACGTCGCTGCAATGGACCTACATGCTGCAATGGAGGACGCACGTACACGCTGCACCGGGGGACTACGGCCCCCTCGCGGGCGACGCAGCCCGCGTCTAGTGTGTGTCGATTCCATTGCTGATGGCCGAGATGATGGAACCACTGGTGTAGTGACACACCTGCAAAAGCCGACCCGGAGTGGAAACTTGCTGCTGCCGCCGTTGATTCCAGGCACAGATTCCACGATGGTGCGTGCTGGACCCGAAAATGCCACTGACGTTTCAGAAGTCGGCATGGGTCAGAAGCATGAGCATGAGGGTGCACCCAAACACACCCGGGAAGGTAAACACTGCCAGGCTAGTGGTGGCCACGGATGAAGCTATTGCCCCCTTCTTCACACAATCTCATAGCTTTGTAAGCGAAGCGTCGAGAAAACTAAAGTTTCCTGTGAATTGGGAGTGCCGCTGTACGATTTGCATGGACTTGCGTGCGTGGTTGTGCTGGTTACTTCGGGTGTTTGTGTACTACCGCCCTGAAGTAGTTGGTCTGCAGGCCCTAGTTGTCGCTTCGGGGGAGTGCACCCACACCCGGCCCTGTTTTCATTGCTTGCCAGCTACATATGTTTCCTTTTTGCAACGAAGGCTTCCCGCGAAAACATACATGAATACGCACTGGAGCACATGTTCCTCGCATCTCGAGAGGCCTTTTTGGCCTGGGCCGGCTACTACCCCCTCAAGGCATACATGCACGAACACAGGGTATTTTTTTATTCCAGCATTCCAATCGGCGGCCAGCGACGAGCGGCCAGCTACATTATTACATTTTTTGCATGAATGAATTGCAGGTCCCCATTTCTTATGTGTTATGCTGGTGTGCACTGACGGCACGGACCCGAACAATACATCGATAGAGCCCTGTTTGCAGCTGGTTGCTGACGCATTACCTGCACCTTGGTATGCAGTAGGTTGTATCAACCTAATCGCATCGCATTTTTTCTGTTCTTTTGTCGTACGGCAAGGGGCACAGGTTCAGCCGTAGCAGTCGTACAGTACGGGGCATGTGGCGTATGCTTGGTGCTGCCGTACATCCATCTGCCAGACCTGCTCGGTTAGCTCAGTCGGTAGAGTGCACGGCTGTTAACCGTAAGGTCGACGATTCGATCCCGTCATCAAGCGCAGAGTGGTGAGGATGTGCAGGGGTCGTAGCTCAAATGGTAGAGCGCCCGCTTAGCATGCGATGCTGAGTGCAGCAGATGATATGCGGGAGGTAGGGGGATCGATGCCCTCCGACTCCAACGGACAGAACTATTACTGTGTGCACGTGCACTCAACCCATTGAAACACGACAGGCTTTATGCTGGGGAAGGTGATAAGGAAGGAAGGTACAGAGTGTGCTGTCCCGGGAAGGCTGTTTTGGAAGTGATCCCGGGACAGATTCTTGAACAGAAGAGGCTGGATGGATGCCAATCGATTCCATTGCTGATGGCCGAGATGATGGAACCACTGGTGTAGTGACACACCTGCAAAAGCCGACCCGATTGGAAACTTGCTGCTGCCGCCGTTGATTCCAGGCACAGATTCCACGGGATGTGCTGATGGTGCGTGCTGGACCCGAAAATGCCACTGACGTTTCAGAAGTCGGCATGGGTCAGAAGCATGAGCATGAGGGTGCACCCAAACACACCCGGGAAGGTAAACACTGCCAGGCTAGTGGTGGCCACGGATGAAGCTATTGCCCCCTTCTTCACACAATCTCATAGCTTTGTAAGCGAAGCGTCGAGAAAACTAAAGTTTCCTGTGAATTGGGAGTGCCGCTGTACGATTTGCATGGACTTGCGTGCGTGGTTGTGCTGGTTACTTCGGGTGTTTGTGTACTACCGNCC